ATTAAGTATGTGCTGATTAATTGATATATAATTTTTCCTCTACCCCTAAACTAGTGAACCAATCAGCCTCCTATGTAATGGCTTTGAATGATGACTAAGAAAAGAGCCCATAATTTAAACACTTCAGTGATTCTAAACTATTTTCATTTGCTAAGAAAAAATTCCTTTACATAATGATATAACCTCAAACTTTAATTAGCACTGGAAAAATGAAACTACAACAGCAAATATGGCAATCTGGTTGACATGGTAAATAACCTTTCTGCACATAATCAACTTAGGGTTCTGGCAGTACTGAATTAAAACTCATAAATGTTTTTGGCTCTTTCCCTGTCTTATTTTTATGATCATTATGCATTCAGAAAACATATGCATTTATAAAAACATCTTGTAGTTATAATTTAGGTTTGCAGATGATACTACATGTGATTTGGCTCTAAAAAGAGATAAATATTCTGGTCTGAAAAGATAATCCACTAAAGCACAAATCCATTAAAACGTTAAAGTTATTCTATCCAAATATCTTACATTAGCACATTACCTAGGAAAATTTTATGTCAATATAAAATATCTTGTAGCCCTCATTTTAATAGTCTAAATGTAGCAGATAGAATTCTTCTGTTGTAAAGTTAATCTTGAAAAATGTTGGATTCAAGAATAGTATATGCTAATAGGCCTTTCTTGTCTAGCCATATATTCTCTAGTATTTTTCATTTCTGATTTCCCCACATAATTATTCTTCTGTTCTGATCACTTCAAGTTTTCTTAATATCTTTGTTTCACTTTTTTTACATCTGGCTGTTTTTTGTATTACATATTGTGTTCTGCTCTCAGAATTGAATTGCCGTCTCCTATAGCTAGGTCTTTATTCCTTGGAAGTCTGTACAGCAAGAAAAGAACATGGGTAATATAAATAGGAAAACCAAAATATTTATTTTCCCTGGAATATAGTAATAATCCCATAGAATCTACATAATACTGAAATTTTATTGCTTCTAGTACTTTTTCCAAAAAGAAGAAAATGTGATATAACATTGAGTGTCAGAGAGATGAAATGGGTTCCACATCATACTCCCTAGATTTAATGAAGGTAAAACTATACTTGAAAATGTAATAGTTGTTAAAACAAAATTAATTTTGGATAGATCCATTGTTTAATATATTATGCTGTGACCAGGAACCCCTGGTAATCTGATTTTCTAAGCAATATATTATGAAAATTTTCCAACTTAGATATTTTGTTTTTCAAACTCTGCAATTTAAATATATAATAGTAAATGCTCATGATCTTTTGAACTGTCTTCCAAAAATGATATTATTACTGGGCTATAACTAAGTAATTATATTTGGTTTGTATCTACGTTAGTTAATTAACCTTAACATTTTCCAGAACAGTTAAGCTAATGTTAGACCTTGGAAGACCAAACAATATTTTGTAATAATTATTACCACTAAACTAGCATTAAAGAACAATCATTAACAGCACTTCAAATTTGTAGATATCAGCTACAAAACCACAAATCAAATTAGCATATTCTTCATTTATTTTTTATTAGCTATTAACATTAGACAGAATTCCCTGTTGAAAGTTAAGATTACTTGGCATGAGTTTAGTATTTGTCATTGATTGAGCTTGTATAAAAACATGTGCTTGTTAATTATATCTATTTAATAGGCTTTTGCTTTGTAATTTTAAAATGTTTTGCTAAGAATATGCTTTATTAGAGATTATAAGCACCATTTATCATTTATCAACATTTTTTCTCAAATACATTTTGATCTTAGAAAAGGTCAAGTTGAAATAATTCAACTTATTTATGTAAGAACATGAATGAACAGGTACAGACATTCTCATATTATAAATTTAAATTACCTCTTCTATAATAAAAATAAGATCTATACTAAAAATAAGATTTGTATGTTCTATACTAAAAATAAATGACTTCTTTTATACTAAAAATAGATTCAAAATCTATCTTGTTTTTGGAATCAAAGAATCAATAAAGATATAGTATCTCTTAGTGTCTATCTCTAATCAGATTGGCCTCTATTTCTACCTTGGTTAATGGCTCTTTAAAATTAGATAACTTTTAACTCCAGGCTTTTCCAGGAATCTCTTTATGATGTTCTGGAAAGAATTATAAATTCTGGCTTTGTGTACAGCATTAAACAAATAAAAAATTTTTTCAAAGTATTTAATAAAGTTGAATGGTGTCAACACCATTTATGCATTGTAGGTTTTGAAGAAAGTCACCTCTCAAGATTAGCTGTGTAATTCGATGAGATATAAATTCATTCTCAGAGATAAATTAGATTGAGACTACATAATCCAACTCCATTGCTTGCTGACTAACTTTCTTTTACTTGGATCTGACTGCATGGGCCTGGCACTAGAGATAATCACACACACACACACACACAAAAAAAAAATCCCCCAAAAAATGTAGTGACTTCTAAACTGCTAAACAGGCCAGCATAATGCTGTATCTTTGATAACATATTTTTCTAGAAACATTGTCTTTGAATCCTTGGGGCTTAACTTAAGTCCTAGTCACATAAACAAATTAATACAATCAAAAGACCTACTAAGGATCTATAAAGCTTGTCTATATGGTCAATATAAAAACTAAACTCTTTAAAATTAAAATTCTAGAAAGAAGAAAAACGTAGGGCTGTAATTTCCTTCCACTTATAAATAAAATGTTTTGCCATTTCCAAAATTTCACATTTCAACCTAACAAATAAAACAGTGTAAGAGTTTTATAAAACAAGGAACTGGTGACTGATCTAGAATACTCCCAAGAACATACATACAGAGATGGCACCAATTCTTAACAATTTTCACCAGTTCCACCAATTCTTACAAGAAATCTAAATTTCTAAAGATGGAGTTTGGCAATATTCCTTCTTTTGCAAGAGTAAAATCAACTTAATTGTATAGGATGAATGTTTTAAATGGAGCTTGGTAGAATAAATTATTCCATCAAATCATTGTCAATCTTTTCTTTAAATCATTTTTCTTCTTCTTCTACATTGTGCCACCCTAAGGAAGGTTATTTATCTAAGATTTAGTAAAAGTCCTGGACAGCAGAGTAGACAGGGAAAGCTACTTTTCAAATAAACAAGTATAGAGTGATTATTCTTAAGAGAAAGCAAGACAAAATTTTCAAGAGAAAATATCCTTTGTCAAACAAAACAAAACAATACATTGATTTAAGATGTTTTAAGGGCTAACCCTTTTGAGCTCTATTAATAACATGAAATACACCTTTAATAACAAGCAGTACACTTTTACATAGATTATAAGTGCTGCCTAATACAGGAGGGTTACATAACTAAAATGATTATTAAATATAATGGGAAAGAATTTTTAGCAAAGGAATAAAGTTCATGTGTGCTAACCTGGGCAAGACCACATTCAATGTATGATCTTTGGAAAAATTCTTTCTTGGGTATGGAGGATATTAATTTGCTACTATCTCACTATCTTTCAGGGAAGTGTCCCAAGAAAACACATCTCAATAAGTGGAATATCAACAACATGAGAACCAATATAAAATCTATATTATTTTGACACCCCCAACACACAGATGGATATTGTATTCTCTGTTTCTCTTGCTTTCATTGTGATACTGTACTCAATAACTGTCTATCTCTACATTACAATATCAAAGAGATGTAAAGACATGGGAAGGCTCTTTTTAGGAAAATCTGTTCTCTCTGCCCATCCCCCCCTTTTTGGTTTGTTTCCCTAAACTTTCATTTAAAAAAAAATTATATGCTCCCTACACTTTCGGTAAGAGAAATTTCATACTTAGCACATATTTGCCATTTGACATATCACCTGTCATTAGCACAAGACTTAACCATTTTTAGAACTAACTGTATTTAATATTTTTTTCCCTGAAATTTCTAAATCACCAACACTTCAACAAACATAATCATTCATTTTGATGTCCTTTGTTGGACTGCAGATATTATAAATAGTTTCCTCTTTTTCTTTCCTTCCTTCAAAGTTTAGACATTGCTCATTTAGTCAAATTTTCTGGTTTGGTTTTGGTGAGTTGAATGCAAAGCCCTCCCCTAGGCCAGGAAGGAGGAACAGCTCTCTAAATAACAACTTTTAGTGGAAAAATCACTGCACAATTGGGTACTTCATGTTACAACATAGACACAGTTGTAACCAATAGGAAGAGTAAATTGTTCCTCCTTCCTATCTCTGACCTGCTCCCTGACAACTAGGATGCTTGGACAGAACCTTATTTCTCTCTCCATCACTTACAAGTAAGGTAAAAGGGTTTGTTTAATCATGTAAAGTAAAACCAGACTGGACCTACAAAAGAGTTGTATAGTTTAGACTGGAACTACAAAAGAGTTGTATAGTTTTTCCCATGTTAGCATAAAACCAAAGAAGCAGGATTGATCGTTAAGTCATAATTAAGCATTAGCATTTAAGCAGAAACCTTAACTTATATTGCCACAAACACAATGTCAGATAAAATCCACAAAAATATTTTCAGCTAGCTCTGGTAGTCAGGAAATTCTTTTCAGAGGTGTTTCCTTTTTGGGCTTTCCCAATTTATACTCAGCAATGAACTTAGAGACCTATTGTGATGTTTTATGTATTCCTTTTCTGTGTATATACCATGTGATTCAAAACAGAATACAAATTCTTCAACCCATCTTAAGTGATCTGATAAATTGTATCACAAGAGTCATTTCATCATGGTTCACAATGTACTTAAAATATGAAGACATACAAAAGTAAAAGTAAAATCTTGATGTCAAATGAAGATCTCTGTGTATAAAGCATATTGATTAATGGCACCCAAGTGAGGACTGGTATTTGGAAAGTCTTGTATAATAACAACTTCGTTCATCATATATCATTTAGTTTAAAAAATGATACACCCACCCTTGCATTTTTAAACACACTCAACCACACATACACACACACACCTATACATACATACACATATATCTACACACAAAGAACTTACACAATTTCATCGTTCTGGAATTCGAGCTCTCCACAGGTGTCCTCAAAGTCCTCCCCTCCACCTCTGGCAGTCCCTTCAATGGTTTTATAGGGAACGATAACATTTCCTCGAGCTCCAGATGTTCTCAACACTTTCACCTCCATGATGCCAATGCTCTCACTCACGTGAGTCACAGGTTCCTCAAAAGTAAAGATGCCTGCATGGTCATCATCAAAAATAGTTACAGTGGCAGTGGAGGGAGATCCAAGGCAAGCAAGGGTAGACACGTGATTGGCTTCCAGGATGCCATCTTCTGAAGCTTCAGAAGACACTTTGACATTGCTAAGATGCACAAGGAAATTCTCATCCTCCTCAAAGATATCATCATCAATAATGCCAACTCTGATTTCTTTCTGGGTCTCACCAGGCTTAAAGACCACAGTTCCTTCGGTAAATTCATAATCAGACCCAGCGTTGGCAGTGCCATCCTCTGTTCTAAAGTCAACAAACACAGTGTTGGTCAAATCACCACCTCTGCGGATAATGGTCAGGGCCACCGTACCACAGTTCTCCAGACACTGATATGTCCCTTGTTCAAAGAAGATCTTACTAACAGGGTCGTTTTCAGCCACTTCTGTGTTGACCTCATGCATGCTAACAGCCTTCCTGGCTTGGTCAGCTGCGTGCCTCTTTAAAATGTTGCCAGCTCCAGTCATCAGGCGAGTAGCTTGAATTCGGTAGAATGCTCTACTTTTCTGCTGCTGACTTAGGACTTGGTAGTTTGCTAATTCTATTAATTGCTCAATTTCTTTCTCTGGATGCTTCTGCTTAAGTTCCTTCAGAATTCTAGCCATTTCTCGCCTAGCCTCTTCATCATCCTGGTCCCTCTCATCCACTTCCAGAACCAGAGCGCCATCTAAGAAGTTGTCAACGTGAGAATTGACCACTTTCCCATCCATTTCAATTTCAGTCTTGGAAGATGGCCTGTCGCCTTCATGTTCAATAATCATTCCCCTCTGCTTGCCAGCCCGATACCTCTTGTAGACATACTTGTAAAAGAGAAGCCTCCGATCTGCCACCCAAGCGAACACAACACAGATGGGAAAGAAGAAGAAAGTAAGCAAACCTTCCCAGACTTCCACAACGCCAGGAGAGATCACGGACAGAATAATGTAAAGCCAGGTGTAGGCGAAGATGCTCCAGGCTGCCGTCACAAAGAACACGCGCAAGTGCTTGATCTTCCTTGTCTCGCCATCGGGAACCACATAAACACAAAGCGCGATAATGATGAACATATTGAAAGCAGCACTTCCCACGATGGTGCTAGGACCAAGGTCTCCTGCAGTGAAGTTGTGGCCACACACTTCAATTACTGAAAGGAGAATCTCAGGAGCAGAAGAGCCCAGAGCCATCAAGGTCAGGTTAGACACCGTCTCATTCCAGATCCTCACAGTTGTCTTGGTGGTCTCTCCATTGGGTTTCTTTATGGTGATTTCTTTTTCTTGAGATGTGATGACTTCTATAGAGGACATGAACCGATCGGCTATGATAGAAACTCCAAGAAACATGTAGACCATGGCCACAAAATACACAGTAGCTCTAGCAATTTTGTCCCCAAAAGAAGGGTCTTGGGGCTCCCAAATGGGCAAAATCACCCCTTTCTTACAGTAATATGAGCCAGTACATTCACCGGTTTCATTTCCTTCTCCTTCAATTTCTGTCTCAGCACTTATATGGTCCACATGGGAAAACAAGAGAGCCACGATGACTAACAGACGAAATCCCATTGAAAAGGTGGGTGAGAGACTTAATCGCAGCATATTGTACATGAGACTTCCAGCTGTCACAACCTACTGGTAAAAATAAGATGGGGGTGGAGGGTGGAAAAAAAAATCACACCATTAGAGCCACATCTAAAGCATGACTAATTACTTATTTTTATTAATTTTACCAAGAACGTGTTTATATTTGACCATTACAAATGTATTCTAAAACTTCACTAGTAATTAAGCAATCCTTTGTAAAGTTTACAACTCAATTTCTCTGTGAATTTTCTATGTGTAGTCCCCATTCACTGAGCAAGATACACAATTGACTTATTAGAAATGGAAAGTTCAATTATAGCCTTGCCTTATTAAATACACATTTATGCATGCTAATAGCTAAGAAGAAAAAGAAACCAAAACTTTTGAAGCATTAAATAATTTCCTCCTTATTGCTAAAGCAGATTTTCTTTTAAATTTTGGTTAATACAACATCTTCCAGAAACTGTTTCTTTGCCAAAAGCACCTTATTAACATTGATGCTTTGAAATTCGGTCTCTGAAAAAATCCTACCAACACAAGGCCTGATGATTATCTTAAATTTTGGAGTACACTGTATTTCATGAAATCATGTCCTGTTCCACATTCACTTGGAAACAGAGAACTCTTCAAGCCTGCCTGCAGTCAAAGCTCAATGGTGTTTGTTCTAGAGGGAGAAAAATTCTGCTGTCATGCAATATTTCCACACATTAAGTACAGTTTTTAAAAGCATGTTTTGATGAGAGCACATTTCCTCCTAATTTTCAGCCAGCCTAGGTCTCCTGATACATTAGCAGCTGGGCATCTGGTTCTTCAAGCGCAACTCTTCACATCTGTGTACAGAGCCTGCCTTTGAACCTGCAGGGCGTTCACACCGGAAAGGGAGACGACCAGGTCTGGGCCCTGTCATGGGGAAGAGCCTGGCAGGCTGTGAAATCAGCATTACCAGCCTTAAAATGTTCCCACTCAGTGTCAATGTCATACTTTCCATGGTCATTCTAAAACACATATTAGTTCTGTAGAGGGTTCAAGTGACCAAAAACTGCAGGGCCAATAATTCCATCTAAATTAGCTCATGTGGCATAACAACAGTGACCACAAAGTATACACATGATGATGGACCGCAGGCCATCAGGGATGCGGCAACGGAGTCACTGAGCAGCACCAAACTCGAGAAGCAAAGCAGTGGGCTGAGCTGTTGCAGCCCTCCCCACCAGCTCACGCAAAACTCAGCTCAGACCTTACATCCCCTCTGTCTCCAGAAGCTGCAAAGGGGGTGGGGGAACTGAAATAGAGGAAGGTCTACTCCAAGTCTGGGTAGCTCTCATCTGGAAGGCCTTGCAAGAGGGACCAGTTATGACAGCAGATAACATAGCGTTAAGAAGAGGTCCCGAGTTAGAACATAGCCTGATGGCCTGGAAAAAAGTTCAAAGAGGAGCTGGATTAGACGCTTTCACAGCTTCAGGCTGGCTGACAGCCACCCACGTTCGCCTACACTCTCTGGCTTGTGCTTGCTGCCGATGGTCTATGCTGAAAACTACACCAGAGCCTAGGAGGAGCCCCCTGCCTAGCACACCCTGGCAGACCCTCAGAGATCCCGCCACAGCCTAAAGCCAGTTTTAGCTCATTACTATTGAGAGATAAGCTTCTTTGACATTTTCCCCATACCAAAGAAGACCAGTAGAGAGTTAACAGTAGTAGATAGTTTACTTTCAATCTAAGTAAAAGATTGAACAATAGAAGAAGCACATTTTCAAATATGTGGAAGTTCACAGTCAGTATGTCTGCTTGTTCAGTCATGGCAGAGCTTTGGTGGGTTGTGAGATTTCTGCTTAAAGCAAGGTGAGATTCAACCAAGCTGCAAGAACAGAGGAAGATCTAGTTTTACCTCCATTACCCATCCATTTATTCCACTAATATTTATGCATGCTTAATATGCATTTTAGAGTGACTTGCTAGCCTCTCTTCTGGGTCCTGAGAATTCACCAGTGAATAAAACAAAGTCTCTCTTCTCACTGAGTTTATATTCTAAAAGGGAGGAAACAAGCAAATAAATATAAATGTCAGATGGTAAAAAGTGCTATGGTGTGTGGAGGGGAGTAAGCTAAGGAGAACTGGGAGTGTGTATGTATGCGTGCCTGTGTGTGTTAGTATGTTCACACCCATGGCATGCATGCTTTTATATTGGGTGATTAGGGAAGGCCTCTCTGGTAAGGTAACATTTAAACAAAATCCTCAAGAAAACAGGGATCAAGTCTCATGGATATCTGCAGGAAGAGAATTCCAAAAGTCCTCACAGGAACTGTGCTCAGCATAGCCCAAAACCACGGAGAAACCAACGTGAAGACCAGGCACCGGGTGGGAGGTTGGGGGGCAGGGCTCCGAGTGGGGGCACTGTGGGCACCGCACAGCAGTGGCCTTGATGGTGAAGGAGATGGGGATCGTGGAAAGGGTCTAATCAGAGTGTGATGTGATCTGATTTGCCTTTTAGAAAGATCTCTCTGCTGGTTCAGACGGTAGGGGCAAGGGTGGAAAGGAGGAGACCAGCTTTTACCTCCTATAATAAAATCTGATTTCTAAGTGATCCCATTGCCTTGCAGGTATACAAATGGTACAGTAGAGCTTTAACATTTCAAAAGGAGAAAGAAGCATTCATAGTGATCCTCTTGGAATGTTAACTTAAAATGTCTTGGGAACCTATAAGGATCAGAAAGGTTAAATATTTGTAATAAATAGTAGCTCTGAACAGAGATAGTAAACACTGTCTCCAAGACTGATATGATTAACCACTCCCTTCAAATTACTGCCAAATATCATCATTCCATTCTGTACATTTCAGCCAAAATGAAATTCCTAAAGTGCAAATCTGACACTCTGACTTCTCTTAAAACTCTTCATTGGGTGCCTGTTGCCCTGAGGACAAAGCCCAAATCATTCAACAGATTGTTCAAGACTTTGTATGATCTGGTCTCTGAGCTCCAGAATATGGGAGCTCTTTCCATTCCCTGAATAAACAATACTTTCTCACCTCCTGGCCTTTGCAAATTGTGTTTTCTATTTCCAAAACTATTTTGATTTTGCTTCTTTTTAAAAGCAAGTTTCAAAATCACACAACAGCAAATTATAGTCAATTGCCTGAGAAAATAGTAACATAAGATTCCATTTGTAAACACTGTGATAGACACTATGTTAAATTTTTATATGTATCAATTATTTCTAATATTTATTAATACAATAACCAGAATTGCTGTTACAGAATTTCTAGTGTTATTATTTCCATTCTAGTCTACGTGAACAGCACTCTGTGGAGTTGTGCAATGCACAGTGCCCTAACAATAACCTTACATAGTAGACATAATTAGTCCATTTTGAAGGTAGGATAATTGAGGCTTAGGTTAAGTACTTGTTGAAAGTCATACAGATAGTAAACTCCTGAACTAAGATTCAAAGCCTGTTCTGATTCCAAGACTGATTTAATAAACCACTTCATCATATCATCCCCGATAGTGTGTTAAATAATCTTTGAGAACTACTGTGCTTGGGGTTGGACTAGCCCATTGGAAAACCTCTTGGCTTCTATGCAGGGTTACAAGGGCCTGGTTAGCAAAAGTCTTGTGGAAAGTGTCCAGTGGCCTGGCTTTTATCTCACAGATTAGAGATTCAAACAGACAAGCATTAATAACTGTAGTATAACATGCAGGCTGCCATGTTCTTAGAGACAGCTGTCCTTTTCCCTCTCTGGTCTTTTAGCAATTGCTTGGCAACCTCTTCCTGCAGGCACTGTCATGGCAATCTCTTAAGTCAGCCAAGAAAAAGCACTGCCCTTTATCCCTTCCCTAAGCCACATCTCACAATGTGTTCTTAACCAAAAGAGTACCAGCTGTATAAAGGTGGATGGATCAGTGAAATTCCATCATCACTATCAGAGAAAAAGGAGAGGGCTTCCGATGTCAACTAAAAGCATCACAATTATATTGAAAAGATGGCATCCTTATAATGCATGAAATCAGTGGACACAAAACATTGATATAGTTTATTGGCCAAGAATCAACTGGAAAGAATGCTCTGGACTTCAGTCTCTCTCTTTTTTTTTTCTTAATTATTAAATTAATACCAACTCCAAGTGCTCATGAAGATGTGGGATAGGTATTATCTAAGTATGAGTCCTTCATCCTTTTGTCTCCTTTGGGGTCTTTCCTCTATCGTCAGACTCAGAAGGTTCTATTATTACTTAACGCTCCCCATCTGCCCTTAAATATATATTTCCATTAAACTTAAGCAGGTGGATAAGAAGAGAAGGTACAGATATGTTGTTTTGCTGCCTGGCTTTCTTATATTCCGCCTTGATCTGCTGATTCAAGGGATAGGCTGCTTTTTATGGTGGATTCAGATCAACTCTTTGTCTGCGGCCAGTGCTCACTTAGGAATATTCATGACATCACCCCAATGAGACTGCAGCATAGTGTCAAGAATACCCGAATTATCTTCTGCTCACTGTTTATTTTAAAACGAAACAAACAACTTCACCACTACAGATTACAGACCTGAATGGCAGTGACAAAGGATGGTAAAAAAATACCCAGCTGTGAGTAATCCGGCCACTAGTGTGGAGGGGAGAGGTCACGGCCACAAGGAATAGAAACACGTGTCTGCAAGGCGGATCTTTACCAAACTCCCTTTGTAAAGGTTGGGAAAGAGTGTTTACAGAGAAGAGGTCTGAAGAGTAGCTAGGCATCAGAGTACCTATTCTCTGCAGGAAGTGATAGCCAGTTTTCACTGTCAAGGAGGACCTAACTCAGAGCAAAGGAATATGCCGGCATTCCCACCAGCCCAGCGTGTTGGATGAACTGCCTAATAGCATCCTGTTGACTGGCATCTGGGGTTATTCCAAGGAACTCCTTGACTTGCCTTCATCAGGACCTGGAATTCCTTTCTATGTAATTTGTGCTGACTGAAGGCCTTAAAGCTAAGCAATTAATCTGTTTCTAAGGCAACATAAAAGCAACCATAAATCCCTATGCACTACCAAGGCAAGCACTTCCAAATGCGTC